TGTGAGAGAGTGTGTGTGTGTGTGTGTGTGAGAGAGTGTGTGTGTGAGTGAGTGAGTGTGTGTCTGTGTGTATGTACCTGGTCCTGTCAGACGCGGCGCTGCTGCTACTGCTGCTGGTAGACTCTGAGTCGGAGCTGGAGCGTGGCAGACTGCGCTCGTTCCTGTACACCAGGAAACTCTCGGTCTTCGGCTGACTGCTTCCACCAAAACCATTACTGTGAAGATCTGAGAGGAGCACAGCATGAACAGAAGCGTGGTTACACTGACGTGTCTGCTGGAGCGATTTTCTGAGGAATCCTCACAAAGCTCTTCTCCATATACCTGTACACAGAGACTGACATGCTGCACATTTGTGGTGCTTTATGTGCTGTACTCTTTAGCGATGTGTAACACTGACACGGCTGAATGGCACAAGTAAATCTAATCATACGGATGTCTTATGTTCTTTTTGAGCCTCAACAGACACTGTATAGAAAAGAGTTGCATTATCAAAATTTCTTGTTTTTCCAACGTAAACGGCACTGGGGCGAGTAAATACTGATTTTTTTGGGGGGGTGAACCAGGCTTTGTTTTGTATTCGAGCACTCAATCTGGTGTCTTCATGAGTCCTCTGATGGTGGGGACTTCCCAGCATTCAAGCCTCTTTACAGAAAACATCTGACTCACTGAGAAGTGTGGGAGTTTCCTCAGTCAGTGTGTGAATATGAGCGGTGATGACTGAAACTTTGACATGCATCCAGTTTAAACAGCAGGATTCAATGAAGAACCGCACAAGTCTCTCAGCAGCAAAACAAATGTAGAATGGTGCTGAACTGAGGATGTAATTTCACAGCCTGCAGTCACATCTGCAGCATTACTGAATGTGATGGGACTCGACAGCATGCTCATATAAACACAGGGTAATATCAGGGATCACAGATTTACTCGTCCTCATCGCCACTGTCCGTTTAAACTGCAGAGTTTGGCTATGCAAGACTATTTGACTCGTGACATTTACACTTCATATGCAAATTTGAACTGGCAATCTGATCAAAGTGAAGCCAGAGACTGTAGGGCTTGGGGCAAAAATGCCACCAAAATGAACAAAAAATGCCCCCCAAATTCAAGATGAGGGGCAAAAACTGCTCTTGCACAATTATATTGATTATGAGTGTCTGCAATGGCCAATCAGAGGCGTTTAGACTAGTCAGCAGTGCAGAAATCCACCTCACATCATATCTGCACTGTGTTGTTTATGATGGAAGCAAGAGATTCGTTTTACAGTGTAGAGATGGCCAGTGATTATAATGGGAGTTTTTTTGCAAACATGCAGAACCTGCACTAAACAGAAGTCATAAACTGCTTCAGTGATGGGGAAATGTAATTTCTGCGTGTACTTTATTCCCAGTTTGAATATTTGTTTTGTTTTTCATACTACTTAACCCATGTGAAGTTTTGATTTTCTAACGCATTAAAAAAAACAATTAATTAAATCAATGTTCTAAGCTAATTCAATAAACGAATTCATGTTCTAGCAGTTCTGAGATTGGTTTGTTTGCGTAGCTAAAGAATATGATGTGCCGTTTCCCCGAACACAAAAACGCTTTGTATAATCATAATCATTAATAATCATTATTACAGCAGCAAAAGCAATAATCAGATGGGTAATGATTTATTGTAATATTGCAGCCCTAACTTGTAACGAGTGCCAGTTTGTTGTTTTACGATTCATATACTGTATGTATGATAATTAACATTAATCTCATAACATTATGAAATTGTGTGAAAACAATTTGAGCAGCATTAAAGAAATGCCATGTCACATGCCGCTTCTGTGCCACCTCTCTCTGCAGTGTAAAGATGGCTTTTGCTGATTTGGCTTTTTACTGATCTGAATGTGTCATTTATTAGGTGGCACGTCAGATCTGATGCTTCTGTAGGCAGCTCACTGAGCGTGTGGAGCAGAGGCTGTACTGTGTGTCAGAGCTGCAGACGTACCCAGGATGAGGTGATCGTGCTCGCTGTCGGTCTCGAAGCTGGAGCTGGACTGGGGACTGTGGGCTCTCTTGCGGGATGAGGTGAGCAAGGGGAGCTGCGGAGGGCCTATTGGACTGGACCCCAGCACCCCCGGCCCATGCAGCGCCTCTCGGTTCTTAGGGGGTCGACCCGGGCGCTTGGGAGGCCCGGCCGCTTTAGGGTTCTTCTTGGAGAAGAGGACAGAGGTACGCCGGCCGACCTCAGGGGCCAGAGCTGAAGATGATGTGCTCAGATCTACAGAGAGGAATATTTGTCCATTTAAAGTGCCGAAGACCTTGTTTGGGTCGAATGGTGTAATAGAGTGGTTCTCAATTCCAGTCCTGGCGTTCCACCGCTCTGCATATTTTACATGACTCTCTTATTAAACACACCTGATTCAGATCATCAGCGTCTTCACACACAGACGAAACTTAACTAGAGAAGTGTGGAGTGTGACATAACATATGGAGCCAGATCGGCCTCAAAAATAATACATTCATAAAACAAAATTCATAAATGCACAGCACAATTTACATTTACAAAATCCGATTCGTAAATTCAAAACACAATTCATAAATACAGACGTAAAAGCATAAATATTTCCCCAAATGCTCACACAAAAGCATCTTACCTAAATAAATTTAAAATGTTTACACAAATATGTATATATAAATTTCTTGAATTAATTTCCATCACACATTTATGAATGATGTTACATGTATTTATGAATCGTTGAATCTGCATTTGCAAATCATCACACATGCGTGGACTGCTTTGAATTTGTGTGCGGTATTTTTGAGACCTTCCTGGCAGGTTAAGAATCATAAATATATTTTTTTTGGAGGATGTTCCGTTCAGCCAATCGCGGTGAGCACACAAATTCAAAGCAGTCCACGCATGTGTGATGATTTGCAAATGCAGATTCAACGATCCATAAATACATGTAACATCATTCATAAATGTGGATTGTTAATTAATTCAAGAACTTGATATATACATATTTGTGTAAACATTTTAAATTTATTTAGGTAAGATGCATTTGTGTGAGCATTTGGGGAAATATGTATGCTTTTACTTCTGTATTTATGAATTGTGTTTTGACTTTACGAATCGGATTTTTTAAATGTAAATTGTGCTGTGCATTTATGAATTTTGTTTTATAAATGTATTATTTTTGAGGCCGATCTGGCTCCATATAACATACCTCTGTAAAGCAATACAATTTAGATTCACGTCTCGCACACTTTGATGCCCTTTGAATGGAACACAGACGCTCGTTTCGAGCTGGAATCATGGAGGAATATCCAGTGAAGTCCACTTCGCAGGGCACTTACCACAGGCACAAACCTCTGAAGTGATGAGAGAAACATATAAAATGTGCAGAGCGGTGGTACACGAGGACTGCAATCGAGAACCGCTGGTGTAATATATTAAAGCTTTATGGGAGCAGATAAAAGATAAAACTGTGCCATTCAATCCAACATCACACAAACCAGCTTTTTGTGACCAATTATACGATTTATTTAATGTTTATTGTCATTAAGTGCTATAGGTGCTTCGTTAATTTAAAAACAAACAATAATACAGACCTTAGTCAGGTTAGATGCCATATTGAGTTTAGCGTGGATGAAAATGAGGCCATGGGTTCTAGCTCATGCAATTTTCACAACTCACAACTTCCAAAACTGTTTTATGGAGTTTTTAATCTGCTGATTTTGTTTGTTTTTTCCTGTCAGAAAGATGTCTCATCAGCTGAACAATGGGTACTTGTTAAACAACAGTACAGTCCACTGAACGCACTGTACTTCAGTCCCTCACAGCCTTGTTTTCATCCCTGTCAAAAACAAATTCATAAACACATAAATATGTCGCTTCCCTGACTAAGGTCTTTTAAATGAGATGCAATAGTGCTCACCCCTTCCCACCGACATTATATATACACCGTCTGCTAAAATATCACATAAATGCAATATTAATAATGATGATATGAGTAGGCTATATGGCTTGTGTGGTCATTAATGCTTTTCTATTTGACTTCAAATCTCATGTTTATCTTCACATACAGCACAAAAGAACTAAAAAGCATCTGGAGCATCTGTTGCCAGGTGGACTACTTTAACACTGTTGCCGCGGGTTGTTTTCATGTCCGTGGTTTGAAGCGGCCCCAATAATGTGATATTTAGCCCCTGGAATGTGAAATGTGACAAAAAAAACGTGCATTGATTGTACCCCCCCGGAACACGACTGGGCTAGTTTTGCTGTGAAAACCTGGCAACCCTGATCTGGAGTCTAGGTTTTCACATTTTCTGAAGAAAATATTAAAGGTGTTTGGCCATGCAAAGCTCACCACCCCAGTGCTCTATAGCTCGGGTCCCTCCTTTAATGCAAGTCTACAGAATTTATTTAAACCGTTTTCTCATCCACCAGGCAAAAGATCTGAAGTCTGATCGCTGTGTAAACTAACAGCACACCTTTCCTCAACAAGCCGCACGATTAGAGGCATCACGTCTGAGTTTGTGTTATGTGAGGCTGGCTCAAAGCTGTCTGTGGTATTTCTGACCTTTCCCACCGATGTCGTGGCTGCTGCTCTCTCCTTCACCGTGCCGGTTTCCCCCCGAGGCGTGATGCGCGAGGACCGAGCCGCGCTCCAGAGACAGGCCCGACTCACGGCTGCCCATGCCACAGATGCCCTCGCGCTGGTGCGCCAGCTTGCGCTTCAGTACCGTCATCTCTTTCTTCAGGGCTTTAGCTCGCCGCGACTGACCGATGCTGTGCTTCCCCGACATGGCCTCATCGTAGCACGCCTGCAGGATCTGCAGCTGCTCCTCTACAGGCAAACGCCGCCGATTCTCCACCAGGAAATCTGAGGAAAAACAACAACAGAACATTCACTTTCCATGAAAAAAGGTGCAAAACAGGACCTGAAACCTTTTTCTTCCTTTTCAGGAAATGTACCTTCTGAGGTCTACAATATCTGCAAACCTATTACCAAAATCTGAATGTCTGAACACAGTGTACAACCTAGCTCTGAAGTTTTTTACTACAAAAAGTAGTTCAACGTATTATGTCAAAACTATGACTCTATGATTTTAATTGTTGGGGCTACTTAAAGTTAACATACAGAAAACTTTCATAGAGAAGGCCAACTCACCGTCATCAATGAGTAATGCTGATCTCTCTCGGTCTCGGTCTCGGTCTCTGTCTCGCTGTCTCTCTCTCTCTCGTTCGTGTGGTGAATCCGGGCTTGGCTCTCGAGGAAGATGCATGCCTGTCTCGTAATCGAATCCGATTCTCTCTGCCTGTCTGCGAGCTTGCCGTAAAACAGCGGCACCTGCTTCTCGCAAGCGTAGCGCAGCACGGTAGAAAACCGTGTCTTTGGCGTTGTACTTCAAACAGTTGTTGACGATCAACAGAAAGTCACCCTCGAAAGCTTCGAAGCTGAGATAGCGATGCGACTCTAAACACTTCCACATGGTCTGGAAATCCATTGGGCGCTCGATGTGGTCCAGGTAATCTGGGACCTGGGGAAGACATAACACAACCACACTCACAGTAAGGGTTATATCTGAAGTATTCAGAGAACTTCACAACAGATGACAACTCTGGCGTCAGAGCAAAAACAGCTTCACATTATGTGAAGCTATGTAAAAAAAAAAAAAAACTGAAGAATGACTTTAATGCAACAAAGATGTTCAAGTTAAGGATGAACCACATTACAGGGCATTGCGAAATTTCCGTACACACACACCTGTGACTGCACATCAGTTCAATTCTATATTAATACAGTAAAGTTGTTGTCACACTAGCCACCTTTCAGCTGAAAACATAATTTAACATTTACATAAATGCTTTTTCCTAGTCTTTACATGAACATAAGGCAGAGGGTCCAGCAGCTGCACGATCCCCTCTGTTGCGAAGGGCCGATGACTGATGACATCATTAAAACATTCTCAAATGAAATTAAATCTCGCAGTGCAACAAAACAATTTAAATGAAGGTCACTAAATGTGTCACCATGTTAAATGAATAGTAAATATATTAAAACTTAATTTTTGATTAGTAATATGCATTGCTAAGAACTTCATTTGGACAACTTTAAAGATGATTTTCTCAATATTTTGATTTTTTTGCACCCTCAGATTCCAGATTTTCAGATAGCTGTATCTCGGCCAAATATTGTCCTATCCTAACAAACCATACATCAATGGAAAGATTATTTATTCAGCTTTCAGATGATTGAAAATTGACCCATATGACTGGTTTCGTGGTCCAGGGTCACATATTCATCAAGAATAAACGCAGGACAGGACTTGATTTCATCCACTGAGAGTTGATTGGATGATGAAAAAACTTGAAGTTTGACCAAAAGTGAGTTCACTAAAATGCCCGCACATCTATTTGGCCACAGGTTAACAAGACCAGCAACTGGTTGCAAGAAAGGTTTTCTTAACTTCAGGAGTTTGTTGTAACTGGATGTCAGTGGGGCTCAGTTTTAATTTCATGTTTACACATGATCATGTTTTGCTGCAAACTGCTTGACTAGAGCATTCTCAAGTGTCTGGCTCATAGACTGAACCCTAGTCTTTCTCCTTTTAATGATAATGTGTAAGATGACCGAGTCTTACGGTCTCCCTCTTGAGCTTCTCTCTCTTGCGGATGAGCTCCACCAGCAGCCGGGCTCGTTCCAGGTCGTGCCGGAGTCTCTGCCACGCTTTCAGCTGCTCCTTCAACACCGAGTGCTTCTCCAGGCCGTCTCTCTGCTCAAACACACAAGCGTGATGTCAGTGAGAAGCTCATCCTCGTATGTCTCGCAGTGAATCGTCCCGTGTACGCACCGTGGCGGGGAGCGGCTCAGCGTTGCGCTGGGACTGCAGGTGCGTCTGGAGACGCCGCAGGAGAGGAACGCCGTTACGGCTCTGTCTCTTCAGCGTCCAGTAGCTGTGCAGCCTCTGCATGAACTGACCCTTCCTCTGCACCGTCAGGTTACTGGTGATCTTACTCAGCCTGAAGCACAAGACATGACACTCTCAGTGCTCCAGAATACGCTTCATGTCAGAGAGCGCTTCACACATTACATTAGCCCATTACATTTCCTAAAGAGCCATCAAGGCCCCAAAATTCACTTGGCAAAGTTCTTCTTCATTCTGATGGCGAACATTTTGACACCACGTTTACATGTGTAACTAAATAAGTGCTGCCAGCTATTCTCTCAATAACATAATTTGCTGAAAACTCACCCTCACTGGAGAATGACAACACATGGAGAGACAACACATATTTTAGTTAAAAGCGTCTTAATGCTGGATTAGTTTCAGCTTTTGTCTTCTCCAGATGTTAACTGATGGACTGGAGTGCTGTGGATTACTTGTGGATTATTGTGATGTGTTTATCAGCTGTTTGGACTCTCATTCTGACGGCACCCATTCACTGCAGAGCATCCATTGCTGAGACACTGATGCAATGCTACATTTCTACAAACCTGATGAAGAAACAAACTCACAAGAAACAAATTGGATGGACTGAGGAGTGAGTTTTCAGAAAATTTTCATTATTGGGTGAACTATTACTTTACACATGGCACAGAACATCCTCTTTTTTGTCCAACATTCATGTTTGCCTCAATTAATGACTGTGTAAAAATTTCAGTTTATACAATTCGAAAATGGTTTGCTCATCATAAAGCCTTCCCAGCTGGCCATATGAGTGCTGTGCAAACCAAAACCATACTACTGTAGTGTTCAGTACACAGGAAGCAGGATTTGCCAGGCATGCACTGTCCTCATTTGTCAAAGCAACATTCCAGTTTTATACGTCGAGACAATGTGTGAGCAAATAATAAGATAATTTATGACATAATTTTAATTTTTGGGTGAACTATTACTTTTACTTAAAAAAAAAAAAAAAAAAAAAAGAGCAGTTGATGGTGTGGATATGGATATGTTTGCGCCAGATCTGCAATTTGGCACTCAAGAGTGTTCATGCTTCTGTGTCCAACCTTATTGGACTGTTTTTGAACCACTAAAACAATCTCCAAAATACATTAGTTTTGGCCAGATTTCATAAGAAATTATTTCACACCTGTTCATTCTTTGAATTCACTTGAAATATATTGGGGCCATTAGAGTCATTACATTACAGTAATGAGAATTTGGGGAGAAAATGTGCTTATGTAAAATACCATGCTCCTAAAATTGACCTCATTTTATTCAAAAAAGAAAATGTAATTCATATTATGTTCTTTAGATTTTGGGCGCAAAAGACTTCGAGAAATTCACTGTATGCTACACGAGTGCATGAGATCAAAGCAGATATCGTGCATACTTGTGCGGTGGAATACACGGCACTGACACCACCGGCGCGGCCGCTCTCCTCTCGGCCAGGATCTTTCTGGCCCTCTTCATCTTCAGCCGTGACTTTGCTTTGGCCCTCTTGGCGCGCTCTGAGCTCCAGCCCTTCCCGTCTTCCTCGCCTCCCGCCACATCCTCCTCATCCTCCGCCTCGCCCTCGCTGTGGGAGGAGCCTGCGCTGGCCCCTCCCACACCCCCCAGCGGTTGGGCGGAGCCTGGCGGCGTGTGGATGTCGCAGTAGGCTGTTTTGCGCACGCTAAATGAAGTCCCGTTAGCGCCGGTCTCGCGCACAGGCTCCATCTTCATGTAGAGGCCGGCCTGCTGAGCGCAGGTGACGTGGAAGGCGGTGTAGCAGTTGGCTTTGTGGCCCTGGATGCAGGCGCCAGAGCCGCGCTGTTTACAGATGTAGCAGGTCAGCTTCCAGCGGGCAGGAGGGATGTGCTCGATGCTGTCGATGGGCTCCAGGAAGACCGTATTAGCAAAACACACCTGAAAGAAAAGCGGGAAAAACAACACCTGAATGTGCCATAACCAGAAGGCAAAAAGTGCCTTCCATGCAGCAGGGTTACTATCATTACATAAAACTAAGACTATATATGTGACCCTGCAGCACAAAAGCAGTGTTACATCAATGGAAAGCTTATTTATTCAGCTGTCAGATGATGCACAAATAAATGCACCCTTATGACTGGTTTTGTGCTCCAGGGTCCCATATATGACATCTATAAGACATAAATAAATGCTTTTTAGAGGCAACCAAAAAAACTAAAAATTTACATTTAACAAAAAGCGCAGCAACTCAGAACACATTTGATGTTCACAGTCCAAGCAACTAATAAAAGCTGGTCTTACCACTTGTCACTGTTGATTGGTCAATATTTATTTTAAGGTCCAAAACTAATTTGCTGCTTATTAATAGTTAGTAAGGTAGCTGTTAAGTTTAGGTATGTAAAATATGCTCATGCAGAATAAATCATGAATTTGTGCTTCATAGGTACTAATAAACAGCCAATATGCTAGTAATATGCATGCTAATAAGCAACTAGTTAATAGTGAGAATTGGTCCAAAAACTAAAGTGCTACCTATCAATTTCTCTCTCTCTCTCTCTCTCTCTCTCACACACTCACACACTGCACGTCACACACACACACTCTCTCTCTCTCACACACACACACTCACACGCTGCACGCTGCACGTCACACAGACACACACACTCTCTCTCTCTCTCACACACTCACACACACTGCACGTCACACCACACACAAGCTGCACGTCACACACATACGCTGCATGTCACACACACACACACACGCTGCACGTCACACACACGCTGCACGTCACACACACACACACACGCTGCTCGTCACACACACACACCTCTCTCTCTCTCTCTCTCACACACACACACACACACACAGGGCCGCTCACCTCAGGAATCCAGAGGGCACACACCACATGAGCCCAGCGAGCGTCGTCTGTCTGCTTGAACGCGCCGCCCTTGTTAGGGCACAGGGCGCAGTCCACGGCTCTGGAGGGTGACTGCAGGCAGCGGCGGCACAGCCACTGGCCCTCGGGGATGTAGGGAACGCCGTAGCACTCCTGATGCACTGCCAGGTTACACATGTCACAGAACAGGATGACGTTGCTGTTCTGACACTCGCCGTCGTTACAGATGCAGCACACGGCATCTTCATGTGAGAGAGTGTGTGTGTGTGTGTGTGAGAGAGAGTGTGTGTGTGCGTGCCTCAATCCATGAGACCAGCCAAATGTCAACAGTGATGTCATCTAGAGCTTAATCAAATGTTATTTTCAATCACAATTTTGACTTCCAACAATTATGAACACGAGATAATTTAGATAAATTACACTCTGGTTTTCGTCTTTGGAACACATGAAGCAATCTGTCACACAGCCAGGTCTTCACATACTTGCACGGTCAAACACTCACAGAATTGTGTCAAAATGCCCATCTTGGTGAGTATTCATGTAAACACAGCGAGCTACGTCTTAAAGGGGTAGTTCACCCAAAAACTAAAACTCTGACGCTTCAGAAAGTTCATAATCCATATGAATCAAGTTGGTTTCGTCCAAGTCTTACGAAGAGATACGACAGTTTTATACGATAAACAGATTTTATTTATTTACATATAAACCTGTAATGAACACATCACATATACACACAAAGCTCATAGGTTCTTGTGCGCCAAGCAAGCACATTTGAGCTGCAGTTTACCATTAGTCTGTGTCTTGATCAATGCTTATAAATTAATAAAATCCTAAATTCAATCTGTTCACATCATAAAGCAGTCGTGTCAGAAGACGTGGGTTCAACCACTTACTTTATTAACTTTCTGAAGCATCACATTTCTCAGGTTTCATTAAAAATATCTTGCGTTGTATTTGTGTTTCGAAGTCTAATGAAATGGTTTAGAACGAGTAAATAATGACAGAATTTACATTTTGGGGTAAACTGAATCACTTTTAAGTGATTGTAAACAGTTTTATGTTAATCAAACAAAGCAAAAAAGGAATCACTCACTGCTCTTGACTGAGTAACTTGTTATTGAGTAACATTATTGTCAATCAGTATTGTGAAATTTCAATAGCATTTAAAATGTTGGTATCGCATCAAACTTATTTCCAGCAAAAAAAAACAAAAACAAAAGTATATGTAGGTCTATATTGTTATCAAGGGAAAAAAAGGTCATATTTGTCATATCGCTGGCGTGATGTTTCCAAAAGTCAAATAATTAATTCTCTTAAATCAACATGACGTAAATCATTGACTAAAATGATTGTGATTATAATCGAATCGAATAGCCCAGTCATCCACATCTGCTTATTTTAGCTACTTTTTTTTTTGCTTGTTCAACAAATCATGACATTTTGACAATAAGATATTAAAGTCTAAACAGCTCTTTTACATAAATATGAATCAGCTCTCAGCGTCAGATTTAAACCATTATTTCCATTCCTCTATGCTGGGTGTGGAAGCCTCCTTTAGAGACTGACTGAAGCGCAGCTCACCTTGTTGTGACTCTCAAAGTAGGACTCCTTCTCCAGGCGATCCATCAGGTACTCGAAGACCTCCTGAGGGATGGGCACCACCCCGTCAGCGCGCCGCTTGTCATTCATGATGTCCAGCCAGATGTAGTCTTCCTCGTCTATATCGTACTCCACCTCCTCATCCAGCTCCTCAGCAGACTTATCGATGTACCTGAGAGGAGGTGAAGGAGACGCAGGCGTCAGGGTGCTGCATTCAGCCCTCAAACCTCACACAAATACACCAGACGTGCCTTCCAGGTCAACAACGTTCACAATGCTACATACTTCTGTAATGTGTTATTTCTGAGAGATTCAGATTGTATCCAGTGATCAGATGGTGACCAGGCTATGGAGGATGAAGGACAAGTTCACCGTCCAAAGCATAAAATTATGTTTATATATATATATATATATATATATATATATATATATAGATATTTAAATGTTTCATCCATGCACATAATTTAATTCATGTGTCCTCATCCTTAATCAAAACATTAAGTTCCCCTCCTTTCTTCTAGAAAAATTTAGTTTCAAGCCTATTTCACATTTTGTATTAGTGCATTACTAGAGTTTACATAAGATTGTAACAACAAACATATATTCAGAAAGTCAGTTTTGACCTAAACATTCTCGGCCCTGAACAACATCTTCAAAACCCATCACATCTTACACCTAAAGCAATTACATAAACACACTCACTCACTCTCACACACACACACACATGTCTGGTCAGCTATCCTTGTGGGGACTCTCCATAGGCGTAATGGTTTTTCTACTGTACAGACCGTATATTCTATTGCCC